AATCAGAACATCATCTAAACTAATTAATTAGTTCAGCATCAAAATTAATTAATTTAAAATAGCAAACTATACGGAATTTTGAAGGACAGGCATCAGTATAACTCCTCTCCAGTGCATTCAGTCTATTAGCAAAGATTCTCTATTAGCAAAAATTCCTGTTGAGCAGAGGGAAGAGACTTGGCATTTCTGCATTCTAAGTAGTGTTGCTTTGCCACTAGCTGCAAAATTCTGGTAGGTCTCTTACCATTTCTGCCTCTTTGCTCATTTCTCTAGACAGGAACTCTTCCAGATCAAACATTCTGGTAATGGATTTTAGTGTCCCTTCAAAGTTGCTGTTGCACACACCACAAGATTTTTATGGTCTTTTTGTACTTTCTATATTTTGTTACTATTAAGCAACTCTAACATTTTTTATATTTCACTATAACAAGATTTGTTCCCTAAGATGGTCATTTTCATCAGAATTTCTGGTTTATAAAACTTAAAAGCATTAAGAACATTTTGAAAGTCATATACACAAATAACATGGTACAGAATAAGTATGGCACATACCTGCAAGGTAACTTTTTTTGTTATAAAACAGGGTTTCCAGCTAAATGAGTAAAAAATTGAGAAGCTGTGTCTTTTTCTTTTTAACTAAAGGTGCTTCTGTGTGAACCTAAAAACAAATTGTGTGTACTTTGTTTGTGGCATTTTTTTTTTTTTTTAAGATTTTTATTTTTTATTATTTATACAAGCACTGGGTACAGTCAGAAGCGCAAGAGGGTAAGAGAATTCACCAGAGCCAGAGTGGGGAGCAGAGCAGGCAGAAGGACCGAAGTACACTGCTGAGGGGAGCAGCGGGCGGCAGGAGAGGTCTGCGCTCCATGTGTGACCCTCCTCTGGTGTCCGGGGAGCAGCCGGGGATCGATCTGGCGCCACAGAGGCTGCAGGCAGCTTCGCAACCCAGCGCTCAACCGCTGTGCCACCAGGGAGGCCCTGTTTGTTGCATTATTGAGATATAATTGACATATAATATTGTGATAGCTGACCCTCCTAGCCTTTGGCAACAAACTTTGTGCTCTCTGCTCCTATGATTTTGGTTTTTTTTTTTTCAGATTCCACATAAAAGTGATGGCATGCAGTATTGGGTTTGTTCTTTTTGATTTATTTCACATAGCATACCTCCAAGTTCAGCCATATTATCATAAATGGAAAGAGTTCCTTCTTTCACATGGCTAAATAATATTCCATTGTGTGTGTGTGCATGTATATGTATATAGTGTATGTCAGTGTATATGTCTCTGTGTGTGTATGCCATACTTTATCAATTATCTTTATATGTCAATGGACCCCTACATCATATCCATGTCTTAGCTAGTGTGAATAATTCTGCAATGAACTTGGATTGCAGATACCTCTTAAAGTTAGCAATTTCAATTCCTTTATGTGTGTGTGTACATATATATATATGCATATATATAAATATATGTGTGTGTGTGTATATAGGCGGTGGAATTATGAGATCAGGTAGCTTCATTTTTAATTCGTTAAGGATCTCCATACTGTTTTCCATAGTGATTACATCAGCTTACATTCTCACAATAGTATATCAAGGTTCCTTTCTTCTAGAACCTCACCAACACTTGTTATTTCTTGTCTTTTTGATAATTACCATCCTAACTGGTGTGAGGTGGTGCCTTACGGTGGTTTTGATTTGTTTTTCGCTGATGAATAGTGAAATGAACATCTGTCTTCTCAGGTACCAGCTGGCTCTCTGCATGTATTCTGTGGAAAAATATCTATTCATATCTTTTGCCCAGTTTTAATTTTTTTTTGTTTTTGCTCTTGAGTTTTATGAGTTCCCTACAATATTGGATATTGACCCCTTGTCTTGTGCATGATTCACCTATACTTCCTCCCATTCAGTAAGTTTTCTTGTTCATTTTGTTGATTGCTTCTTTTCTATGTAAAACCTTGTTTGGTATAGTTCCGGTTGTTTATTTTTGCTTTCATTGCTTGTGATTTTGGTGTCACATCCAAAAAAGTCACTGCTAAGAAAAGTGTCAGTTTTTTCCTGACATTTTCTTCTAGAAGTTTTTACATTTTCAGGTCTTATGTAAGTCTTTAACCCATTTCAAATGAGCATATTTCTTTTTCTGCATGATATTTTCATCTGTAGTGTTTGTTATAGTGTTACTTTTCTGTCTTCTCTCTGATGTAGCACCAAACTCCTCATTAGTTATTTAAATTCACTTTCAAGATATTTAATATACTAGGCATTATAAATAAATTTGGCCTCATCCTTGGAAATCCTTTTGCCTAGCTCTCCATTTTTTTGTGTCCCATGCCTTCCTCATTCTTTTCTTTCTTTCTTCATTTTAATGAAGCTTAGCTTCACTAAAGGGTTGTAAACTTTTTTAAACCTGTATGTCTCTTAAGTATTTTTATTTTTCTCTAGGTTGGAAACCACTTTAGAATTTCAGAAGTGCTTTGACTTCCAATTCTGATTCCTGGATTTTTGGTTTTTGATTTTTTTGTTGTTATTGTTGTTACATCTTTTTTCCTCTGAAAGTTTGTAGACCCTAACATTCTCATGTGATTAAATTCTCTTCAATCTTTTAGCCTGCAAAATCATGTCCTTCCTTGGGAGTTCTATGTTACAGCTTTTAAGATCCTTCCTTTTAAGACTCAAGCAAGCAGGTTTGCCCCTTCAGCAGTCCAACATGTTGCTTAGTGATTCAGAATACACTAGCATATCTCTCTAAGATAGACAAAATAGGTTAGCATCAGGATGCCCTGTGAGAGTTGAAAGAGCAGAGGATTGAATTAACACTGTAATAAATATTCGGCCCACAAATGTACTGTATTTCTTTTATAAGATTGATCAGAGGCAATTTCCCTGAGGCTGCTATAACAAAGTAACACAAGTTGAGTGGTTTGAAATACAAATTTATTCTCTCTATTTTCAGAAAACTAAAAAACTGAAATCATGGTGTAAGTAGAGCTGTGCTTCCTCAGAAGTTTCCAGGAAAGAAATCTTTTCTTGTATCTTCCAACTTATGGTGGTCCTAAGACTTCTCTGACTGTGGCAGAATAACTCCCATCTCTGCCCTAGCCTTGTTCCCTCTCTGTCTGTCTCTGTATCTGAGAGTCCTCCTTCTAATGACACCAGTCATATTTCATTGAATGAGATTTCCCAAAGCCAGTGTGATCTCTCATAATTAGTTTTATCTGCAAAGACCTTGTATCCAAATAAGGTCACACTCTGAGTTTCTGGTTTGACATGATTTGGGCAGTACTCATAGTACAGAAGGTGTTTAGATGGACCTAGCACAGGGTTTACAGAAGCTATAATTTAAAGAAGTTTTTTAGTTGATATTATATAGATAAGACCTCCAAAGAGAATAGATTTCAAACTGCTTTTATTTAAATACTCATATGTTTGTATTACTATACCAGACAAATTTATTCATTTGCTTTATGGGATGTTTATTGAATACCACCTATTTCCAGTTACTCTTCTAGGTACTTTGTCCATAGTGAGGGGGAAAAAAAAAATTAAATCCCCTACCTTGCAAATATGAAAACATTTGTAGTTAATGTAGTATTAGCAAATGTGAAATAAAATATAATGGAAATCGTTATATTAGTTCAGATGGTATTTGAGCAGAGACCTGAATACAATAAGATCAGCCATGCGTATTTTGTGGAATAGAGCCTTTCAGGTGGAAAACAGCTTATGGTTGAATAGCATGACCTGGTTACTTCTTCAAAGCTCCTTGTGACTGCTCTGTGGAAAATGGGCTGTGGGCCAGCAAGATATGAAGAGAAGTAACCAGAAATAAGCTTATTATATTGGTCCAGGTAGAAGGTTTTGGTGTCTGGCCAAACGTATAAAGAGTAGGAATAGTGAGAAGTGACTGGTTCTGGAGATAATTTGTGGAAGGAACTTTTAGAATTTGCTGAAATATTTATTGTGTGGTGTAAGGGAAGGAGAAATAATGGTTGAAGAATGTTTAGAATTTCAGGCCTGAGCAACCAGAAACATTGAAATTAAGTACCATAAGATGGAAAAGACTACAGAAGTGGGCTTGACAAGAAAATCAAAGAATTCTCCCTTAACATGTCAAACAGATGTCTGAACATATATATGAGTCTGAAACTCAAGTTAAAACTGTAGGTAAAACCTTCAATGTTGTCAGCCTACATGTATTTAAAGCAGTTGGCCAAAGTATGAGTTTTCCAAATTCATTGATACATTAAATATTGTAATCTCTACCTCTTCAGTTATCATCACTTATTTAAAATGTGTTGGCTATAAACCAGGCTCTTTGGTGGGAGATTCTGAGAAAGATTTATTTATTTATTTATTTAAACAAGCACTGGGTGCAGTCAGAAGCACAGGAGGGTGAGAGAATTCACCAGAGCCAGAGCAGGGATCAGAACAGGCAGACTGACGAAATACACTGCTGAGGGGAGCAGCGAACACAACAGGAGAGGTCTGTGCGCCATGTGGGACGCTCGCTGGTGGCCTGGAATGGAACTGGTGCTGCAGAGGCTGTGGGCAGCTTCGCAGCCCAGCGCTCAACTGCTGCACCACCAGGGGAGGCCCTTTAGTAATAGATTTATACCCGGGTTAATACTTGTTACTTGTTTCTTTCATATCAACTTGGTTTTCTTAAGTAGATATTTTAAGCTATTAGAGAGCAGGAGCTTTTTACTTTTTTTTACTTTTTAAATCACACATCATCATCACAATTTGGGAAAGATAATACGTACCCAAAAATATTTATTAATTGATCACATGATAATTAATTGTTTAAAAGCAGTAGTATTTTTTTACCAGCATGTTTTTATTTCTCTTTAATATCAGTTATACAGATGGCTTATCTAATGAGAATATTGACAAATTGCTGTTTCCTGACAGTAATTTTAAAAGTAATGACAGATGTTATTTTATTCATTTTTATCTTAATGCTACATTCTCCCCCTCCCCCATTGCTTATTTCAATTTGCAGCCTGATTCTACTGCAACTGAAAGAGCAATTGCCAGATTAGCAGTGCACCCTCTTCTGAAGAAAAAAATAGATGTGCTGAAAGGTATGAATTTAATAACTTGTAAGCTGTGTACTTAAATGCATTTGGCACATGATTTTTTTTTTTTTTTTAGATTGGTTTATTTATTTATACAAGCACTGGGTAAGGTCAGAAGCGCGGGAGGGTGAGAGAATTCACCAGAGACAGAGCAGGGAACAGAACAGGCAGACTGACAAAGTACACTACTGAGGGGAGCAGTGGGCGCGGCAGGAGAGGTCTGCTCACCATGTGGGACCCTCTCCTGGTGGATCAGAATCGAACCAGCGCTGCAGAGGCTGCGGGCAACTTCACAACCCAGCACTCAGCCTCTGCGCCACTGGGGAGGCCCCTGTGCACATGATTTTTAGATAAATAATCATGTATTTGTTTCTGTGGTCATTTTTCTGTGGAGGGTCTTTAATATTGTAGATGTCACTTTCAGATATTTCTAAACGTGGAAGGTGACTGTAAATATGAAGGGTTTCTGATGTCTAAAGAAAATATAAATGCGTATTTTTTACTATGTCTGAATATATGGTTATATAACATTCAGATATATGTTCATGATCTGGGATATGATTGATTCTCTAAATATGTAATTTATGTAATCTTTATGTAATTTCTGTTACCTTTGTAATTGCTATCAAATAATTTTCATTTGTGTGTGTATACTATAAAATGTATTTAAAAATTAAATGTTTTTGTCACAGATTGGAAAATATTTTTATGCCTGAAAGTACTATTTATAGTACTATTTATAGTACATTATTAATAAAATTGTATCAATACATTATTCCCACAGAAATTAATGTCACCATTTTATCTTATTTATTTGTATTCACTCTTCTTCAGTTTTTCTGCTCTTCAGAATTTCAGGACATAAAGGACAATTTTCTTTTAATTTTAGAGACTTAAAAATGAGCATCTTCGAGCACTTCTCTTAAGTTGGTTTTTAAAAAGTTAGTAGATTTGTTTGTGAATGTACTCAGATCTGTTATATGTATTAATGTAAATTCCAGTTTTCTTCCTTACTGTTTCCAAGTAATTTAAGAAAGACTGCAATTAAATAGTGATGTGTCTTACATTATTTGTTTTACTGACAGAACAAGTCACGTGTTATTTCTGTTCCAGCTGCTGTCAAAGCCTTTAAGGATGCAAGACAAAATGTTACTGAAGTAATATCATCAAAGAACACTTCAGAAGAAACTCATTCCAAGGACACTTTGTGTTCAAATGATGATGCCAGAAAGTTACAACATGAAGGAACCATTATCAATGAGCAAAAAGCAAAAGAAACCAAAATATTGACAAAGAAGCCAATAAATAATGCAAAAGAAAAAATAGCCAAATTGGGGCATGGACCAAAAGCAGTAGACATTCCAAATTCTCCATCAAAGCCTGCTGAAAAGGATTCTATCATTTCCTCTGAACTACAGGAAACACCTGCTGAACCAAAAATGAAAACATTAAGTAAAATCAAAGAAAAGAAAGAGCCCCAAAACTCCTTTGGTGATAGCAGTGATGGAGAAGAATTACATGAAGAAGAGAAAGAGTATTTTGATGACAGCACAGAAGAAAGGTTTTACAAACAGTCTTCCATGTCTGAGGATAGTGATAGTGGTGATGACTTCTTCATTGGGAAAGTCAAACGGACAAGAAAGAAGGACAGTAGTTGCCCTTCTTTAGTTAAGGAACAGAAAGCCCCCCCCAAATTGTTACCTGAGGAAGATACTCTTGAAAGCCATCACGATTTTAGAAATGATAAAATCATGCCAAAAACAGAAGTTACGAAGTTTGAATCTGTGTTTTTCCATTCTTTATCTGGATCTAAAAGTTCTAGAAGGTAAGCATATTTTTCTATTCTGAAATAATTATTCTTAATTTTTTTTGAAGATGTGAAATCTCTATGCATCATAATGAAGACCAAGAGACTATCTCCCATACATATTTCTTGTTTGTACAGCACATCCTGTATTTAGACTAGCCCTCTTCAACTTTGTATTGCACACACACATATGGCAAAGCTACATTTATCTAGCTTCATAAGAAAATGAGATGTTAGTACTTTTTTTTTTTTTTTTTTTGATAAAAAGTGTTTAGAAATGTCACACTTCACTCTTTGAATAGACCTTTCTGAAAAGAATATTGTGGATTTTTTCTTGATAATCCAGGGCCATTATTGTAAACATCAACCATGTTATTATGTATTCTTATTTTAGGATATAAGCCTGCTTGCCCTAACACTGAGTTCTTCAGGCTGCTTTTATACTTAGTGAACTGCTACCTCTCTCCCTGCTGTTAACCACCACTTTTCACAGTGTTCTGTTGGGAATCATTAAGTTCAATTTCATTTGTGATCCTAATCTGATAGGAGTAGCTTCACATTTTACAATAAAGATCCTCACTAATAGCTAGTTTCTTTAATAGACTTTTTCCTCTTATAGGTCAATGCTAATTTTTAATAGAGAAGAAAAATGTTGGAATTTTCTAACACAGTAAGAATATGAAAACCATCTTTGGAATACTGAAAATAATTCAAACATTGTGTCTCCCAAACCTGCCTCACATGGCTGTCTTTTTCCCTCAATTGAAAATAACACATTGCTATCCCTTCCCTTCCCAGAAAATGTATTATTTTTTATTATATGTGATTCATTCCCATGTGAGAAAACTGAAATTCTTTATGTAGATGTCCCAAGAAGACAGACAGTAACCAAAAGAGGCTATTTTATGACCAGAAATCCCTATAGGGGTAGTAAGAGACAGAATCCCCTAAGTTTCTTTAGTAATATTGGAATCTAAAAATAGTCCATTGAATGAATTTTATCACCGTTTTTACTATTTTCTTAAAGTCAGAGGATCTGTTTATCTTTTTTTTTTTTTTTTTTTAATTTATACATGAACTGGGTACAGGGCATCTCTGGTGGTGCAAAGGATTAAGCACCACACTGTGAAGCTATCCACAGCCTGTGCAGCACGAGTTAGATCTCTGGGCAGCCAGGGAGCAACTCACATGGTGCAGCAGACCTCCCCTGTCTCTCCTGCTGATCCCCTCAGCAGTGCATTTCAGTCAGCCTTCCTGTTCTGTTCCCTGCTCTGTCTCTGGTGAATCCTCTCGCCCCCCGCATCTCTGGCCTGTACCCCAGCTCTTGTATGCATAAATAAATCTTTAAAAAAAAAAAAAGAACTGGGTACAGGCCAAATGTGCGGAGGGTGAGAGGATTCACCAGAGACAGAGTGGGGATCAGAACAAGCAGACTGACTGAAATACACTGCTGAGGGGAGCAGCGGGCAAGACAGGAGAGGACTGCTGCGCCATGTGGATTGCTCCACCACCGGCGGGGATCGAACTGGCACTGCAGAGGCTTCAGACAGCTTCACAACACTGCAGTCAACTGCCTGCGCCACCAGGGAGCCTCTGTTTATCTTTTTAAAGTCTTACTGCTGTTTTTCTTCTAGATCTTGCAGGGAACAGGTTCCGAAAAGCAAAGCCCCAGGTATGTATTAATGGCCATCTAATCTCACTATGCAATGAATCAATGCTTTGTCAGTGAGGAGGGATGAAAAATTTTGGTTGCTTAAATAGGCTGAATGGATTTTGTATACAGAGATGGAAACAGAGCATCTTATAATTATCAGTGTAATTTGTCTTTTGTTTATTTTCTCCTAGATTGTATTGAGAAATTAACATAACTTAATCACACCCAGATTGCTTCTTACTTTTCTTTTTACACTGTGTTCTGCCGGTGGGAAAGATATAGACAAAACTTATCCGGAAAATTTGTCTTTTAAATTTATCCTGAAGTAAATCAACGTATTCTTTAAATTATTATGTAATTTACATTTCCGTCAACTTTTTGCCATAAGATATGCAGTAACAAGTACATTATTTTGTGAACATTTCCTGATTATGTCATAGTAAATCAAATTTAATCTATTTGGCTAGGCTGACTTCTGTGCCTAATCCCAAACTCTCACTGGCTTAATAAAATTTGTTTTGCATTCACATCACAGTTAACTGTGAAATAGCAGAGGGACTCATTGTGTGGGGAGAGAATAAAGGATCGAACATGAGATATTTTAATTGTCAGGCCTTTTACTCAGGTTTCATTAGCTGTAACTTGGTCACATGGTTTCATCTAAATGTGGCTGGATGAGAAGTATTCAGCCTGTACCTCCCAGAAGGGAAAGAACTGGTTTGGCAAACACATGACAATCTGCATCATTCAGTGTATATTCACAGGAACTTGTAACTTAGGGCACATCCACATTTTCCTAATGAAGAGATTCAAGTAACAGAATGTGTACTTTTTTTTTTTGCTTAGCTTATTTATTTATATTAGTTTACTTATATATATATAAATTTGCTTTACATAATTATATAAAATATACATTAGTTGAAAAGTAACTGCCATATTCAAATCTCAGTTTTCATGAAACAGTTTCATCTAGCATTAAACTCTTCACATCATCACTAAAGCCACTCTGAACATTATAATGTAGGTTTCTAGAGCATGTGTGATTCTAAAACTATGTGGACTTTGTAAATCTGTGTATAATAATGTTTTGGAAATGTTACCCCAAATCACATGCACTTGTGTGTATATTGTGGCATTATTTCCTAGGGAGATCTTTACAAGACTTTTGACAATAATGTCTAACTTAGAGCAGTGAAATTGCATACCCCTAAGACTGATTAATAAATGCATATTAAGTTTTCTTCCTCCCTTTTTTCTTTCCAATTCTATGTATGTGCATTTATTCATGTTTTCTCAATCTAGTATATCTCCCCCAAATAGTTCTTTATTGTTCAAAAATCATGTAATTAAAATACTTCGTAGTATAAAACAGGCTATACATACTAGAATACAGGTTGCCACCCATCTGATAGATAATTACTTTACAACTGTGAAAGAAATTTGTTTTACATTTCAATAGATTTAGTAATTAACCTTGAAATCATTTTGAGTGGAATTAATAGCCCTTTAAAAAAATAATCTCTTCCATCAGCTTTGTCAGATCCAGTTCCTTAGTTGTGACATGAATTTTCTGACCGGATCTGCTCCAAACACAGATATAAATTAGTGACATTCCTTTGAAAATATAAAATGTTCTTTTTTTTCCCTTCCATGTTGTCCATACTGTTTTTTTAATTGATGTCAGTGTAAATAAGGCAACATAGCATATATTAAGAGACATGTTCTTAACAGCTACTTGAAAGGATTAGAAAGATCATTCTAATTAGTATGTGCCAGAATTGTAGACTCACATACACATGTGTTTTAATTCCAAACTGTTCCTTGTTATACTTCAGTTTTAAATGGTGAGCTGAGGAAAACTTAATTTCTCCTTAAATACTGATTTGAGAAGGTGGGATATATTTTTTTTTGTATGCTGCTTAAGTGTATAGTTGTCATTATTTTTCTTTTCTTCCAGGTTTTCAGCAAAATGAATCTCAAGTCAAGAATCACCTTGATAAGAGTGCTCAAAGAAGATTTGAAAATACAAAACAGAGCTCACAGCTGCCTCTTCATCCTTCATGGGAAGCAAGCAGAAGGCGAAAAGAACAGCAATCTAAAATTGCTGTGTTTCAGGGAAAAAAGATTACCTTTGATGATTGATTAGAACCTCTTTTCATGAACTTTTTCATCTAAAAATGATTTTTCTTTTTACCAGTCTATTACTTAAACTTGTATTTGAACAATTCTCTTTGGAGGGATTATAGAATAAATTAAGTTTTGTTTTGTTTTTTTTCTTTCTTTTTAGTGTGTCAAAGTTATATTTATATAAACCTCCCATAAAGCAGGTACATCCATAAATTGATTTTTTTGATATGCCCCAGACTATTCTCTCTATAAAAAATGTTGAGATTATAGTTATCTAAGATTTTCTTATTTGTGATTATCATAAAGTGTATTTCACTGGATAACCTGTATTTCTTTGCCTTGAAAATAAATATTGAGATGTTTTAAGAATAATAATGGACAAGTATGAGGAATTGTAGCTATTTAAAATAGATCAGTTTTGCTAAATATTTTTCTTTTTAGCAAAACTGACATAGTAACTTTTATTATGAGTATATAGAAAATAAATTATACAAAAATATTTTTATTATAGTGTTACTTAGTTGTGATAATATACTTTTTTGGTAATTCTAAATAGTTTCCCAAGACAACTGTGGATTTCTGAATTAGATTGCAATTACTTAGGTAGTGTACATGTAACATCACAACCAAAAATCGATTTTCCATTTCATTGCATATAAATATTTCCATTTAATCCAGAATGTGTAACAGCGAATTATTTGACCAGGTGTCTCACAGAAACAGTTTTTGAGGAATCAAAACTTGGAGCTTATATGAAAAAATTCTAAAGGAGGTATGACTGAAAGAACACCTTCACTGATAGCTCTGCTCCCCTAGCATAGAAGTTATGAGCTGACTTGCTCAAGCAGGAACTGCTTTGTATATCATAATACAGTTACCAAAAGGAAAACATGATTTTAAAAAATTCTTTAAATGTTTCAATTTTTGCTACTCTGGGTGAATTGAAAGCTGAGTAATGTTAGCTAAATCCCTGTTTTCTATACATTGATGATGTTAATGAAGGAATCTCTGGTTAGCAGAACTCCACAAGCTCTGAAGAGTCATTTCTGTCCTTTTCAAGAGCTAAGAATTTAGATATCTAGAATAATGGAATTCAAGAGTTATGCAGTAAAAAATTTGTTGAGTGTAAGGTTTTTTGTACTTTAAAATTGTTATTCTGCAGTTTCGCTTAAGAAAAATTGGAATTTTAGTTATGAAGTATTATTACAGGAAAAGTGAAAGAAAAATATCTCTATGCCTACTTAGGTTTAGCCAAACTGCAAGGTTGAGGGCACTGTCTTCCATACTGTCAAGAGTACCCACGACTTCTTAACCCCAACTGCAAGGAGGTACAGCCAGCCATAACATTAGAGGGAAGAATCCACATGAGCACACTCTGACTTCTACACCAACTGCAGGTTTGTTGGGGTGGGGACTGGGGTGGGACATCCTAAATACCCTCAACTTCAAAAATTTGCTGGGAAAAAGTCAAAGAAGTCACTGAAACCTATTATATTCATGGTTGCAGTTTATTACAGAGAAAGGGTATAAATTATAACTGGCTAAAGAAAGCGATGGGTAGAACCTTAGAGGACCTTGAATGCAAAAGGTCATTACCATCCTGACATCAGTTTGCATGGAGTGTTGTCAATCTGAAATACTCACTAAAGCTTCAATGTCCAGAAATTTTATTGGGACTTTGTTATATAGGTTTTCTCGATTGTCCACGTGTTTGTTACAGATGGGCTGATAACACCTAACCCAAAACCCCCATCCTAAATAACGTGATTCATCATTTTTGGTATAACGTGCCCTAAAAAAAAACGCTTACCAGGTATTACATAGATTACCTCCAGAAATCAAAGGATGAAAGAATTGTTTATAAATACATATGCATAAAAGAACTGTGGTGTAGGCCAGAGGTGTGGGGAGTGAGAGGATTCACCAGAGACAGTGGGAAGCAGAACAGGCAGATCTACTGAAATACACTGCTGAGGGGAGCAGCAGGCGAGAAGGGAGAGGTTTGCTGCGCCATGTGGTTTGTTCCCTGGCCGCTCTTGTTGCAGTGGCTGCTAATAGCTTGCTAGCATTGTCTTTAACCCCTGTACCACCAAGGAGGCCCTAGTTCTTCACTTTGGACAAAACCAAGATCTATGCTCTGCAATATGCTTCACCCAAATTCACCCAGATTTCCTAAATACTAACATTTTACTGCTTCGACTTTTATCCTTGACTCACATTCTCCCTTTCTCCTCTTCCTTCACTTTTGTTTCCTCTTTCTCCCTTTGTCTCTCTTCCCACCTCTCTGTGTCCTCCTCCATCTCCTCTCTTCCTGTCTCTTTCCAGGTATCAGATATTCACGTTGCCATTTTGTCACAGTTTCATCTGCAGAAAGTCCAGACGAAAGTCCGTGCCTTTAGCTCAGTTGTCAACTTCCATTTAGTGGGAACAGTTTCTGAGTCTGTCTTTGTGTGTGATGACACTGATATTTTTAAAAAACACAGGAGAGTTTATTTTCATTCTTATTGTCCCTTTATTTGGATTTGTCTAGTGTTGTCATCATTAAATATAAGTTAGGTGTTTGGGGCAGGAATGTCACAAGAGAGATGTTGTATTTATCCCAGTGCATCAAGTGATGATGTTGATAGGACCTGTGATTGGTTTCTCTTTATCATAACCATTATCTTTGAGTCTGTGTATGTATGTCCTATTCCGAAGCTGCCACTTACTAGTTTTATCATTCATGATCCTTCTATATGATTGTAACCACTGCAATCTTAGTTGTAAATGGTGATTTGGTAAAATATTTTCATCTTATTGTATATTTAGTACCTAACTATAGTAAGGAAAAGCTTTCCTCTCTTCCCTATTTATTTTTTAAATTTATTTCAGTATGATCTCAGGATACCTCTTTGATTCTATTTTTATGTCCTCTATTTTATATATTGTTTTATTAAGTGAATATTTTTATTCATTTTGTCTTTCATTGACTTACAAGGTTATAACATACATTTTTCATTATTTCGTAGTCCACAGATACATGCCACTTTACATATAAACTATGTTCCAAGTTTTTGTACTATTTACATACATTTTGCTTCTATGTATAACCCTACAATCCATTATTTTTGTTGTTTTTGCTGTAATATCTCCTTTGTCTCCTTACCATGCTCATAATTTTTCTTTATAGCCTATAAAACATGAAACATTACTCGCTCTTTTAATGATCTTATTTACAGTGTTTCTCAACTTGGGTCAGTTTTTACCCCTAGGGTATATTTGGCAACATCTGGAGACATTTTGGGTGTCAGCAACTAGGGACAGGGGCACTGCATTTGGAGACCGTGAACCTGGGATGCTCAGTAAACGTTCTATAACATTTACAGCAGAGAATTACCAACTCCAAAGTGTCAACACTAAGGTTGGGAAAACTTGATCCAGGGCTCATTTGGCCCCACTGCTCAGGCATCATAATTCTAAGAACTCTCCTTAATGTCTTTTCTGTGAGAAAAGCTTTCTGCTTTGTCTGATGGGAATACAAACTATATTGGAGATATGTGAACTAGGATTGTTCCTTCTCTTTTCTGATATTTTTTCCCCCTAATCTTTATCGATTCTTCATACATATTGCTCATAGATCGCTGGACTATCTTTCCTCTTTATGTGCTGCTGCATCTTCAGTGTTTGTTTTTCAGAATTGTGACATTATATTCGTTTAATTAATGTCCAGTTTTCAACAAAGCATTATAAGACAAGGTTGCCCAGATATCCTCATCTGGCTTGACAGTTCTGTTTATTTAGAAGTTATCTTTTGCCTGTTATCACATTTGAAATTAATGATGAAGATTGCGTCATCCTTAGGGGACTTTTACAGGTTTTGAAACCCACCTCTTCCCCGAACAAGTTTGGGAGAACAAGAATACTTTTAATGAAGAACATTGAAGCTAATGTTGGGCCTTACAAACAAGCAGAGAAGTACTGTTTTTGAGAGAAAGATGTCTCTTCAGTTTCATATGGTAGTGGCATCTCCCAAAAGTTCTTTCCAAAGTACTTCTCAGGACTGCCTTATTTTTTCCCTCCTTTGCCCCCATGCCTTGAAGCTACCATGTGTAAGAAGAAATGCCACTCTCCTAGGTCCCGCTGGATGGACCTGAAGTCTAATAGACCTTTGTGCAAAATCTCTTGTCATTCGAGATTAGAAGGATTGCCTTTTCCATCCTGTAGCTTTCGTTGTCTTTGGGTTTTTTGCTTGAAAACAAATGGCCACTAATAGCCAATCTTTTCTCTCGCTCACTCGCTCGCTCTCCCTCTTTTTTTGTCTATCAGTATCTCTTTCTCTACTGATTTGAAATGTCACCCTATGTGATCATGGTAGTGTTCCTAGACTCTGTCCTTCCCACCTTTCTCTGATCCAATATTACAGTTTAAATTTTTCTACCTTTGTATTTTATATAATTATTTAGGAGTCTGGTTTACTCTTGGGTCTTTTCTCAAAATTGTCTTGGCTATTCTTAGGTCTTTTCTTTACAAATAAGTTTAAAATTAGCTTGTAAGTTTTATTTTTAAAATTAATTGGCGTTAATTTTGATTACTTTCAGAAATTATAATTTCTGGGAAATATTTATATTTCAGACAGGGTTTATATTTTGTCCCTTAGTTGATTATGGATCTGAGTTCATAAATGAACCTATATTATAGAAATGTAGGGGACAGGAACATGTTCAGGAACATGTTCAGTAGCCTGAGTATCATATCAACATGCAGAAACTAAGTAGCCCTGAGTTGGATACTGGAATGTTGTTTGTACTTTGAACATGTGTTTCTCTTCAAGCAAAAACTTGTTTTGAAAGAAAGTCATTCTCCATGTTGTTTTCAGGATAAAATTAAAAGGATGTTTTTCAGTGAAGTCAGCCAAAACTTAGAGGGTCAAAGAAAGGAGGAGGGTTATTTGTGTTTATTTTTAAACTAAACATGGTATGAATATTCAGTGTTCAACTTAGCTCTCTATCATAGACAGAAGTTCAGAGCCTTCATATATACCAGCAGCAACTAGTTTAGCTTATGTCTGAAATAGATTAAGAACTAGTTGTGAACTTTTTTTTATCACAGGTATAAAAGGAGGGGTGATAAAGGAGGGGTTTTCAGACCCTGTCAAATTTTTAAAGAAATGTAAGCATCTTAGTGCATTAATAATGCCTAGTGCTTGAATCTATATTAATTTTGTCAATTTTATAATCACTTTGAAATCTTCAAATCTCCCTCTGACCGCTTTACAAGCCTCTGCTTTACAGATTCTCTCACGTACCTTAGAAAAGTTCCGCTGACTATTCCCTGCTTCTTACTCGATTTTCTTCTATGACATTCATCACCTCGCATGTATGTTTATACGGTTGTCTGTCTCCCCATCTGTAATATAACCTCTACAAGTGCAAAGACTGTTACCTTTTTGCCGTGTTCCAAACTTGGACAGAACCTGGTACATAGTAGATGCTCAGTTTAGTATTTGCTTTCCAAAGACGTTCTAGAAATGTTTGGGTAAACAGTTTGCATACATGCAAGTTTTTTTCAGTTTAGCAATGATTCATGTAGTTGAATAGTTTCAGTTACTGGTTAGGAAATTATTAAAATAATCCAGTTACCTGAGAAATAGGGTAGCTTGACTTGGGTAGTAGCAGTAAGAAAATGAGATGGGAGAGAAGGTAATGTTTCATTATAAAGGAGAAGATGTGTAGTAGAATAGCTGATATGAGAAATGGTATGATAACAGCATTAGGAACCCACTTGAAGTTTACACTCAAAAATTTAAAGTGAGAGCAATCAGCCCAGCCATTCATATTTTCATTTGTATAAATTGTTTTTGACCATGTTTATTTTGGGCTGTAGATTTTTTTTTTTATTACTTTGTAGGTACTCTTCGTAGCAGAGAAAATAAGTCCTTTCTCTGCTACCAGATTTGCAGATAATTTCCATTTTGTCATTTGTCTTTTGATTGATTTCATTTTTTTTCCCCTAAGCAGAATATTTTATTTTGTTCATGTTACAAATGATGTCTGATCTTTAACCTTCTGTCTTGTTGTTGGTATATGTGACAGCTGCTCTGATTTACTGATAATTTTCTCTGCCACCTTATAAAACTCTCGCTGTTTTTAATAGTTACTCCATTGTTTGTCTTGCATTTTCCAGGCTCAGAATGATACCATCTTAAGATAACGACCATTTTATCTACTTTTTTAAATTTTTGTCACTCCCTGTACATAATTAAAATGACTACTAATTCCACTACAGCATTAAATAATAGCATTAGAGTAGACCTCCTTCTCTGCTACTAACTTTAATGGAAATACTTCTGATACTTCTTAAATGTGAAATTGAGATTTAGAAAGGTGTTTTATGATGTCAAGCTCTGTAATCTATACTTCTTACTGAAGTGTATTTTTACTTATTTCTAGATGAGTTAATGGTTTTCCTAAGTAATTATGCATCCTTTTCTTTGTATGCTTTCTTAGCCATATTCTGATTTATTTTGATATCTAGGCTACTGTTTTTTTTTTACTTTATTCAGTTTCTGGTTTTTTTTCCCCTCTGCTATTTTGTAATTTCTTTAATACCATTTATTTATTTGGTTTGTTTAAATTTTCCAATGAAGTACTATTCGTTTGCATCATTTTAAGTATTTGGAAGCATAGGATTTCCCCTTCAGGTGTAGTCACTATAGCGTACTCATCACCAGTGCAGCCATAGATTTTAAGAGAACATTCACTTTAAAATTTAAAGAGGGTCTTTTAAAATCCTTCAGGTTTTAAAGTAAAATTTTCCTAAAATCTGAATTTCAGTAACTGTACTAACCTACCAAAAAATAACTTAGTCCTCATAATTCTTTCATCATTTTTTAATCTGGGATGCATTTGTATCATCCCAGGTCTGTCTGTTAATTTTATCTCTCACTTAGACTTTATTTCTTCATACATTCATTGTAGGTTACTTACATGTTTACCAGTTTCTTTGTTTTGTCAATTTTTCTTTGCCTCCATTCTTTCTGGTATTATTTCTTTGCTTTCTTAAGTATATATTTTCAACACCCTATAGTGAATATCTGTTAATAATTAGTTTTTGGTTATAAGAATGTCTTTTAGTTTTCATTCTCAAATGAAAGGCTGTCAGTGCAATTAATCTTGGTAGTGATTTTTTTCATTACTATGAAAATCATTGTTTTCTGACTTTGTTTCTACTGAGAAATCTGCTGTCAGTCATTTTGTCTTTATTTTTAGGCAACGTTTGTGTTAACATTTTATGTAACAAAAAAGACAGTAAATAGTATTTGCAGCCCATAAGGTTTCTATGATATCTACTTGTCTGGTGTTATGGCATCAGCAGCCTCCATGTATAAACAAATGTACATTCTGTATCAGCATAAACTTTACAAAAACCAGTAGTGTGGCAGATTTGGTTCATGGTCTCTAGTATTTACTGCCTAGTCTGAGTGATAATAAGGTTAAAATATTCTTCCTTTTCAGCATCCTTTCCTCTGCTACTAAATAATAGTCAGTGGTATTGTCTTTCTTAGAATTTAGCTTTATATTGATAAATTTAAGAATAGATGAGTGACGATATATTTTTTCTGCTTTGAATTACCTATTTTTGCCCCAGCTTTAATAATAGGAGGAAGTAAGAAACTTACATTTGTTAGTTATACCATGCCTACCTTAATAAGATTCTGTTCTATCACTCTAATCTTTGTTGGTCAGGTGATTTATTGAAGGTCACATAGTGAGCTAGGGGGTGAAGCCAGGATATAAAAAATTAGGCAGCCTATGTTGTTAACACCTTTGTTATATACCATCTGTATTTTTCTGAAACTTGGGTAATCTTCACTAAACCTACGAAGATTATGGGGGATGGCAGAAATCAGATCATTTCTAAATGTGGATGTGAAAATGTCATAAGGCCACACACCAAATTCTTTATATTTTTTAAGTTGCCTCTCATTATCATGGTTAAATTTTAGGAACTGAATTTGATTAAATATAATTCTAGTTAGATCAATAATCAATCTTTTTTTTAATCCCAGTAAAACATTTTGAGATTCATTAATCACTTCATTTTTAAGCACAGCACATAAATATCTAGGAATAGAAGGTTAGTGTTTGAACTTGAAAATGAGTATCTTAGACTAATAGTCGATACTGCATTTAATGTGTAACTGTTGGGAATCAGAAACTTAACAAAGGTGTCTTATGGAGGTTTTACTAGGTTTTCACTCAACTTTGTTCTAAAGATGAAGCCAATGCAGTTAGAAAGAAAAGAAATACAAAGTTTCATGGGTACAGCTAACATTCACTTGTCTGGGACTGACTCACTTGTAGAGCAATACCGCATTGTTTTATTCAGTTCCACTCTGATTGTTGTTACACTAGGGGTTTTGGGTGATTTGATTATTTATTCCCTCATCTTCATATAAGGTATCCATGTTCTTTTACCCTTTTTCAGAAGTACCCACAAGTATCCGGATTGTTGAATGAAAGTTATCTTTCGGTTAAAAGTCAGGGGACTTTGCACTCTGGTCTCGGAACATCTGGAAATTCTTGTCCTTCTTCTTTCTGACCATCTCCCTGTCCAGTTTAATTTCCTACACTACCATCTTTCTCTTTCTTCCCCCAATTCCAGTTTTATGTTTCGTTGAAGGAGAGTAAAAACAGCTGTGTAGGTACACCTATAAGAGCTCATGAGGCACTTCAAAGCTGAGGCTTTTGTGAATTTTTGTCTCTGAGTAAAAATGAACTGGGAATAGAAAAAGGACCAATCCAGTGTAAGTTAGAAAGATGAATGAAAATATCCAGAATGCAACCAAATACTGAGATCTCACCCTGCCACATTTGCAAATAGGATTCTACACATACAGCATGTAGGTCTCTTTGACATGCATTCAGTACATATTCGCTATTAAGCTCTTGATAAACTCATCTGGTTTCCAGTTACTCATTTCTAACCATTATCTGTGTTTTAGTAGTTGCAATTGCTTATAATTAAATTTTTTTTTTGGAGAAACCATCATTTAATTCATTTAACATGCGAACTGGAGCTATTCATCTATTGCTTGGTATAGGGCACCATGATTTATAATTCCATGTGGAAGAGGTAAATGCCCAAAAAGAAATTAGGGTATTAATTTATTATAAAAAGTAAGCAAGTTGATGTTAGCCACAAAACTTTCTTGAAGCTTTCTCTTCAAATCTAAAAGAGAAAATGCATGTATGTGAATCTATAAAGAAAGAAACACCTTAATAGTTGGAGAGGCAAAGCCCTATGTGGTCAAAGGACAAGCACTTTACCCCTAGGGAGACAAGATTTCTAAGGAAATAAACGACTGTCTGGTTTGGAGGAGAACGTGAAGTGGGGAATTGGGACCAGATAAAGGAAGGCTTTGCATGTCAGTTAGGGTTCTTGAAATTTAGTTCACAGGAAATTGAGAAACCAAATTTGAAAGTGAAAAACTTGAAGAAGAAAGCTAAATACCGTGTAGAGATTTAGAAGTATGTAATATGACTGCCTTGCCAAGTGTCCTTAGCTGTCTCAGATTTCCAGTAACTAACCTCTTTGAAAATGTTCTCAGTCAAAGATTTTTCATGATATTTCAAATCAACAGATCATTTGTGTAAGGTTAAAATCGCACTTGACAACAATGGGGGGGAAATGTACACATGCACAGAGCTCCAAAAACAATGTTTGGTCTTTTCTTATAAAAGAGCACATGCACCTTGAATGTCTTTCATAAGATTCCAGAACTATCTCAGTTTACTAAAAAGAAAATAAAGGTCCATTATCAAGTTTCATGTTAAGTGTTATTTAATTTAATGAAATATGTTAATGGATAAAACATAGCTAGAATCAAATACAGAAACATATATGCCATTATTGAACAATCTTAGTTCTTTAAAAAAGTATCAGGTTTTGATGATGGATCAAGCAGTGATCATTAGTGGCTGCTAAATGAATAGGTGAAAATATGAGGGGGAATTTTATAATGGATGACTCAGACTCACAACACTAACCCACTGATCATCCTGAACATCACAAAAAGATAGCAACATCGTGAAGGACATGCCACACCTGGAGCAAGTCTTCTTGCCACCCCAAATCAAACCTAAATCTTGGTAAGCCTCTCACTCTGACTTTTTATAGGAAATACAAGGAAAAGAAAAATGTATTCAATGATCTACCAGGATACAATCTGCAAGATCCAGAACTTGGAAATTCTATAAGATAAGAAGTATTCACTAAAGAAAAAAAGGGATTTTAAGTCTGTGTGTGTGTGTGCGTGTGTGTGTGTGTGTGTGTGTGTGTATAATAGTAAAGAGACTTAAAACAATAGCTGAATTTTCTCTGTAGACCTTGTTTGATCCTTATTCAAAGAAACGAATTTGGGGAAAAACAAAAGTTATAAGACAAGTGAAATTTGAATACAAGATATTTGAAGATATTAAGGAATTCTTTGTTACTTTGGTAGTTACCTCAGTGAAATGAGCTTTATATATTGATGACAACAAACTTAAATGATTTTATTGACCATGGCGGATATACTGATTTTGAGTGACAATCCTAAATATTCTAGTAGGACAAAGTCCAACTCATAAAGAGTTTTTTCCTAGCAGATTCAAAGGAGACCAGTGTTTGAGAATAAAGCCTTCTCTCGGGCTTCTTGTTGATTCGTGAGAGAGAGAATCCCAGAGGAACCCCTGCAGCTAAATTGTGAAATCCTGTACATGAAGAGAGAAAAGGAGAATATGTAAGTTTTTTTCCACATCTCTGATACTCAAAAGTATTCCCCTGAGAAAACTGGGAAGAAAGGGACAGGGAACAAGGCGACATGTGCCTTGCTCCTGATAAGCCTTCTCAAACTGTGGAAGAGTAACAGGATAACTCCCCATGGACTGAAAGGCACCTCTGGTCAGACTGGGCCTTGGAGAAAATCTTGGCTTGGTAGATGGTTTTTCCAAAGAGCATGTTGCCTGAATTAGTAAAGAAGTCACACCATGTGTGTTTTGTAGTCCATCCCGTGGAGCTCATCCCCTTAGATCTCTGATCTGCAATGCAAATTTAACCCAGTCACTGATGCTTTTGAACCTGAGTTCAAGAAGCCTCTGGGAAATGTCTTGTCTTTGTACCATTCCCTCCTTACCCAAGTCATCAATCACGGGTAAAGTTTTCTATGCTCTGGATTAAAACAAATGGTGTAAACACTAAAACAGAGAGAGATGGGCACAGCTGACTATTTATTACTCTCATCCAAGCCTATCATTATCATGGCAGTCCTTCCAGAACACTGGTATTTTGCTGTATTTTTTCCTGAGGTTTTCTCTCCCTCCCGCGTTACCCTGCCATTGAACCGTATTCACTCTACAGGAAATGTAAGTCTATTAAAAGCACAATGTAAGTAGTAGAAATAGAGTGTGATGCCCTTTCCAGAGGGCGCCTTCATTGATGGTCAAAGACAAACTAGCAGAGCAGAGGGATGTTGGGAATGAGTGCAATTGGAGCAAAACTTTAAAAGACTGCCTCTTTGTCATTTTCTTTTTCCTTTTTCTCTTTGGATTGATCCTCCTTTTTGCAACTCCAGTGTGCTTGGCTAAATAGGAAAAGACTGGAATATTCTTTCACTTGTACAGATGAACTTTCCAGAAATTCCCTAGTAACGCTTCATGAAACACGGAAGGTAGGGTGGATGTGGCAAGCTGTTTTGCCTGCCAATCTTGGAAGAATAGTGTTGAAAGGGTGAGGGGAGGCAGTTCTTTCTGGGGGAAGAGATCACCCTGTCAAGAGGGTTCTCTTAACAGAAAACTAATGGGAGAGCAGAATGGAAGGAGATTATGAATTGAATATAAAGAAAATGATTTTATTACTCTTCCTGTTGGATATAAGTAGGGTGGTTTGCTGACTCTCAGTAGTCTTGTATTTGACAGTATATTAATTCACTCCTTTCTCTGTAAAAATATTTTTCTTTCCGTTCACACCTACACATACAGCCAAAATGTAGGTATGTGATTTGGGTGGGAACAGCCGTTCGCTTACCTGACTCTATCTCCTTGACTTTGGTTATTGAAGAAGGGCTCGTAACTTAAACTGCACTTGTCATAATACCCACAACAGGTGGTCCAGGATTGGCATATCACCCTGTTGGAGTATGAAATGCCATCCCTTAGATCTTTCAAAACCTGAGTTATAGTTTCATGTCATTTTCTCCCTTGTACCCAAGGGAGAAGCAAGCAAGCAACAAAGTGTCCATTCTTATGGAGAAAGCAAATCAAGAGAATGAGTGAATACACTAAAACAGAACTAAGTAATTGGTCCATCCTCAGTTTAAAAACAATATTTGGGAGAGGAAAGGTGGTAATAAGAAGCACCTAAAACATTAAAGTTGTCTGATAAATGGAAAGGCCTGGGTTTCCTTCTAAAATCTAACATGATTAAGAGACTGAATTGATTCTTTCCATTGAAAGAGTCCTATTTAATCATGTAGTCTTTAGGAAGCAAGGCCTGCAGTAAAATTGGTAGGTTTCCAGGTAATACTGTGTCCCAAATGCTGCCACTATCATGTATTTGTTGTAAGAAATTTGCATATGGTCTCATTTTTATGAATTAATGCGTAATACAACATATCCAAGAGTTTTCCAAGAAACAAGTCTTACAGGATAAGTACTATTAAAATAAAAGACTTCTGTGGCAAAACAAATTTGAGACTCATTCAACAATAAAGTGGTTTCTTTACTGCAGGGTTCTTCAAAATCTTTCGTGTGGTAATATGTTTTGAGTCTTTGCCACAAAGATAACTTTCCAATCTTACTCTTGGATCCTTTTTGAGTAGAGTAACTTGTGAAACTTGAATTCTTCAATACTTCCTTCAGAAAGTCAACATTCCCCTAATTCTATATAAATGATATTTTACTAGCTTACATTAAAAAGGGGTATGGAACAAGGGCTTCTAAAAATTTTGGCTGCAAATTACTGTGATGCAAGTGGTTTATTCAATATGTAATAATCCTCTGCTAACATCTATGGCAAGGATTAGAAGTACTAATAAATGGGAAACACAAGGCAGTCAAGTTTTCTGATGAAAAGGAAAGAACTGCCCTCTCCCGTCTTTGATTGCTGAGCTAACCATTGCTTGAAACACTGAGCAATGATGAGACAGAGGAAATCATCTTTTTGCATTAATAACAAAAGCATATCCAGATAATTTACCTTGAGCAGGCAAGTGAAACAGGAAGTTTATGCTTTCCAATATACTAAAGTTCCGCAACTCATATCCAAACTGCCAGCCCCAAGTCTACATCTATTGTACCTATAAGGTTCTCTTACAGGTAAATTGTTTTTGTGGGTTAATTTTTGAACTGTCTGTCCCAAAACACTTGCCTACATTTTAAGGCTTATTTGTTCTCTCAGGTTAAGTAACTAGGCTAATCAGGTACAAGTTTAAATAAGGGTTACTCTGACAGCCGTTTCTCTAGCTTGGTTGGGTGTGTCCCCTGAGTGTGTGTATTCTAGTGTATATTGACTATAAGCTCTAATCAAAATGGAGTGTGGTTTCCCTCACAATGCCTGCCCTGTGTCCTTAGAAGTACCTGGTGATGGTAATAAAAGTTAGTGTCCATTCATGTATGATAGTTTCTTTTAAAAACATCTGCTAGATTTATATCCTTCATTGACAAGTTTCAAGTCATGTGAGCTTATTTGTTAATACAAAAGTCAACTAAGCAAAACTAGGAAGCGTACACATGCTTTAAGATTTTCACCTAAAATGAAAATCAGATCATTTATTTATATGTAACAACAAATGACCACTGTAGACACTTGAAATCATTTATTCAAGGCATTTTTATATAATCTTGCAATCATAGTACAGACATATAATAAAAGAATGTTAGAGTATAAAGAAAAATATAAAGCCAGTGTGTGGGCATTTAAAATAAGAGCTCTCAAAAAAGTTACAAATGTTTTATTAATAGGATTCTTGAAAATTTTGGGAGAAACTAAAACCTTCTTAAAAAGAGCACAGTACCAAATGACATGTCACTTACTTTGTAGCAAGGAGTTATATATTAACTAAATGTTTATATCTTGTGAGCTAAGACAACACATTTTACATTCAAGTTGAAATAATTCAGCACCATTTTGGCTTGAAGGATAAATGAAATGCTTTAAGTTTTCAAAAATGGCCTATAACTTTTGGTGAGAATGAAATATTCTCACCAAATGAAATATACTGATGGAATATATTGATTGTGTGCATGAATTCTATTCATAAATATAGAAAAAGGGTAATTTTACTTGTTGGTTACTGTATTGTATCAAACTTTTTTAAACAAAACATCTTCTGACCAAAAATTCAGTATTTTCACACATTTTGCTAAAGATATATATTCTCAGTACCACAATTTTAGTAAACTGCATTTCCTCTAGAACCTAAATATTGAGAATGTTTGACTTTGATCATCCTGTGAGGTTTCAAAGAGAAGGAAAAATTGCTGTTCATTATTGCAAATAATGCCTGCTGAAAAATTAGATGATAAAAATTGGGAGTAAAATAATTATGTAAAATTGTAAAGATTTTCTGGAAACAGGGAAGTTGTGGATTCCTATGTTCTAATACTGTTGGGTAGTTGAGTCCTAGCATCAAGGCAAGGGCCCTTTCAAGACATCTACTTTCAGATCATAGTCTGAAAATCTCAGACCACTAATACAGATGTGGAAGTCTCACTAAATTATTTTCCTATTTAGCCCATTTTTTCACAGCCCTCAGTTTAAAAGCCGGTCTCTTTTCAGTATTCAACATTCTTTGTATCATTTGTACTTCCTGTTTAAAAAAAACTATTTACAGTTTGGTTAGACTGGATTATGTTTTTTGTTTTATTAATGGATAACTTCTACTGGATAATCACTGTGAGTTTTGGTCATTCATTACTCAGAGAACAGATAGATACCTTGAGGTTGAGAAATAGTGAGCATTAAATTAGTACTTGTTAGTTATTTGGGAGTACTTAGGGAATTTTAGGAAAGGAATGTTTATGTAAGGAATACGTAAGAAACTTACTTAGTCCTTATTCAGACTTTTTTTTCAAAGTCAGCAAATAGTACATGTTGTATTTAAAAGGCAGACATTTTAGGGATTGGAAATATATTTTTAATTACTAGTAACATATACATGCATATAACTATTAACTTTTAACTTATATTTTTAAAATAAAATATGGTCATTATAAACAATAGAGCTTAAAATAGAAATATTTTAGATGTATACGTACAGTTGTTAAAAATGAAATGAGGTGAAACCTAATGGGTAGTAATGACATTTTTAATATTTCTCAATACTTATTGAAGACAGAGTTTTTAATATCCAATGCTTGGCATATGAGTGCTTATTATATATTGGGCCTTCAAATGGTGATGGTTAGATAGACAGATGGAAGACCCAAAAAATGATTATAATTACGTCTTCTCATATGTATCCAAAGGCCATGATACTGGCTAGTTTTTATTATAGGGGTAAAATCATAATGAAACAATAGATCTTAAATCTACAGATGCCAGTCCGGCTCAGTATTAATACTGACAGTAGTTTTTGTTGTTTAAAAAAAGCAAGTATATTAAAATATCTTGTTAGATTGCAATTTGAAAGGCTCATACATACAGTCTCAAAACTAAAGAGCAAATGAAGCAAAGAGGTACATCAAAGAAGCTATTCCATAGCTCAGATACGAGTTCAGTGAAAGTTCTGGGTCTCTGTCAAGCTTTCTGTATTCTCTGTTGGTGAGCTTGTGCCCTGGCCAGTGTGGAGCATATCACTTGTTCTGTCTGCCTCTCCATGACTGTCCGTCTCCAGCTCCTTTCCCTTGGTAGGCACCAGGGAGTACAGAGTGATGAGTAGTAACTGGTGTTGGCTTTATGGCTCTGACTTGTAACACAGGGTTGCCAACTCACTTTTAAATTTCTACCAAACCTGTCCTGGCACTGGAAATACCTTGCCCGAGATTTTAATACTGGTTAATGTCGGAAAACTTCTGCTTAAGCACCACTCAAAGTGTCATTTGACTTCTTTCTGCACCTTTTTGAATTTAGGAAAAGAAATTCTCCAAATTCTGTTGTGGCACCTCGTTTCACAGTTTCAAATAAAATCACAGCTGTCTCATTATGCAGCATGGTCCTGGGTTTGGCAGAAAGTATCTTCCCCCTATTCACTAACCCCTCAAGTTTATAGTGTTATGTGCTTTGCTGATTTAGATTATATATCAGACACACACAAAAAAACATGCATGACTGATTCCTGGTCGACCTAGTTAATGTACCTGTATCCACATCTATTATGTCATCAGTTCTGAAAAAAATTTATGTTTTAGTATTCCTCTTTTTAAAGCTGAACAATAATAATGTAAAAAGTTGAAAATCCTAATATGTTTTTCATTACTAAATTTAAAGTATTTGAGAGACAGTTGTGGTTTGGGGAACTTGTTCATATGATTTTTATGTCAGCAGGGAAATTTTCTTGGCTAATACCTCAGTATACTTAAATGCATATTATCTCTGGATATATCACATCTGTCATCAGGATAACTTCCCATTGACATAGTCTTCTTGTGTATACTAGTCCCCAGAATGTAAATTTGAGAATTGCACTTTAAAAGTCTCTGCCCATAGGAGAATAAAGGGGTAGTGGGTGCATCAACAATGTTGATTAGATAGGAATTGGGCAGCTCAATTACTTAATCCATTCCACAACAAAGCTGACATAAGTCAGAATTAAATTGTACACTTGACAGAAAGAAAGGAGTTTATCTACTGATTAAAGATGTAAACATAAATTTTATATAGGGATGTAACTATCTGAATACATATATTGCCATTTCTCTGCTATAGAGTAATATTTCTTGACGCCAATGGTAATGTGTATGTTCCTTCCTCAGCACCAAATGTGTCTGTATCTCTTTGAACAGTAGGATCCTCATTTCTCAATGAATCTGTGCTAGGAAATATAGAAGCCAGTCATTGTTAGCACTTTAGAAAATTCTCAGTTCTTATAATTTTGGCTTATTCATTGAAATACCATTTTCTCATGCTCTGTAATCTCAAAGGAACATAAGAAATTTGGATTTCTTTGAAAGAGCCAAGTATGTAACATACAGAATTGAAACAGTGTATTAATTCATAAAGTAATGTGAACAAGGTTTAAAACTTCCCAAATGATGCCAATTTAAATGCTCAAAATCCAGTTATGTGCTTTGGTATAAAACAGTCCAAACAAAAATTCCTTCATTTTCTCTTTCAAAATATGTAAATCCTACTGAAGTTAATTTTTTTCCCCTCTTCATAACACCAGGCACTGATTTATCCATTGGGAGCTTTGGCTTGCTTCCTAATACCTAGTTAAGAAAACAAAAATAGACAAGTTATTGACTTGCCAATATTATGATGAATACAGTAGACAAGTAAATAGTCAATCTTTTAAAACCAAGTATGTAACAATTTCCCTCTACCTAAGCAACAGTCACTGTGTGAATTTATCTGTTAACTACGACTAAAGAAAACAACGTGTCAGTAGTAGAGAGAGTCTATCTGATGCCTATCAACCTGATGTTTATGGTTGAAAGAAATACCCTCTGAACCACCCAAGAGAAAAGCAGGAATTAGAGGACCAGCCATATGCTGGGTGAGTTCACTCCACGGAGCTAGTGTGGCATTTCCACAAAGGAACAGGGGGATCACCTCTATTCTTTTATAGCAGCATTTTGGGTATAGAATGATGCACTAAGGGCAGTATGGGTCAAAGCCAAAAAATACTGTATTTACATTGTGATCACAGATCCTCATATGAAGGAAATAAAGAAGTACTTAGTACAAATAATAAGCCCTCAAGTTCCTAATAGTCATTTCTGTGAGAACTTAATTGTAGACTGTTACTGAGCACAGAGTCTCATGGCCCATACCCTTCTTAACAATGAAGAAAATGAAGGGGAAAGGATACATCAAAGGCTCATTCTTACTGGGAAGTTTCTACATATTCATGTTATGCTTGCAAATATTTGATTGGCCTGAACAACCATCCATGCACTGAGAAATGTCTTTCAGAGTTATAAAAACTTAGTCATGTTACCCAGCGCCCTGCACTGTCACTCAACTGACATGTGATTAGGCAAGGTACACTTCCTGAACTCAAGGAACCTCATAGACTCTCCATGGCCTGCAGAATCAACTTCAAAATGTTAGCTTTTTCTTCAGTGTGATCTCGGGTCTGGGCCAGACTTACTTTTCCATCATTTTTTTGCCCATCTCTTAACTCCATGAAATGTATGCTTCAGCCAAACTTGGAGGCATTTTTGCAAATATGCCCTGCAATTTCTTCCTGCTGTGTAGTTGCCTATGATGTTGACTCCTTCCATCATGCCCCCCACTTAACTCTGCCCAGAGCAGTCCTCAGCCTTCCAGGCCCAGCTGGATACTGTCCTAAAGCCATTCCTCATGTCAGCCAGAGGAAGTCTCTCCTTCCTCTGAACTCTGATTCCTAGCAAGAGGTCAAAAGGAAAATTCAAAATATAAGAGACAAGCATCACTCTCATGAAGGTGAGGGTCTCTTTCTCAAGCGTTCTGTTCTTTACCCACCCCGCTCATATTGCATATGAACTCATTTTAATGAGTTACTAATTATAGGTCATTTCACTTTTTCATGTTTCCATCCAATCTATTGCTTACTAAAATCCCACCTCTACCACTCTTGCAGTTTAGTTGCAGTCAGTGACAACTGGTTAAAAAAAAAAAAAAAAAACCCTCTATGCTTGAGTTATATGATAAGTTTGTTTTAAATATCCCGTGATACCCAGTCAAGTCTATTGATGAAAACCAAGTCATATTGTGCAACGAGTCACTGCTCTGGACCTGTTCCTAGTGGTTGGTCAGTGGTTGTACCTGAGATAGACCTCGCTTCTCACAGCAGAAGGTGTTCTGTTCCACTGTACTTAGTGTTGCTCTTCATGGAATGTACATATTATATCACTATTGCACTTGGGTGTATGTCTCTCATCCTCTTGATTCCAAATTCTAAGTTCCTTGAAAAAGGGTATTTTCTCTATTCATCAAATGTTGAATGAGAAGTTACATGGTGGCAACCTGTACTGGCAATGCATATACAGTGGCAGACAAGATACTAGGTCCCAGCCAGAATGGAGAAAAACATTAAACAAAGATTCACAGTAACTAACTTATAATAAGGCTCCGGGGGGCGGAGAGGGAGCAGTGTTAGGAATCACTGCATTATCCACTAATATCTAAGTGAGAACCTCAGTAAATACATGGTACAGAAGTGAGAGTAACAGTGAGTAGAGCAAGAGTGAATGAGTCACCAGAATTCATCCATTTTCAATTATTTTAGCTTAAATTACACTATGTTCTAAGGATTTGCAATTATAGTGTAGTCAGGTCCATGGTGTTTTGGCCATAACCTCAACCAGGCTATAGTGTGGACATATTCAGAAGTGATTTGATTATATGTTTTTCCAGTGCTGTCCCATTGCTATCATAGGTGTCATCTTCTCTGTTGCTGTGATGATGCTTATAAGCACAGGCTTTGTTCCTTTGTGGGGATAAGAAAAAAGTGTCCCTTCAAGGTGAATTTAGTGCAAGCACATGGCTCTGTGAAAGAAGCCTGGACTGTTTGAAGCCCTATCTGCCCCGGGTCAGCACCCCAATTATAAGGCAAAACCTGCACAGCTTGGTTTAGGTGGACTGGGGAAAGCCATAACTATAGATTCATGTAAAGGTAAACATTTCTGGTTTATGTATCAGGGAGAAAATTCTATCTAGTGTGGCGAGATTGCACCTTTCTGCATGATTCAGAGGCACGTTGCCTCTCCACCATCAAAGCAAAGCTGCTGCATGCACAGTATTTCAGTGGGGCTCAGTGTTGGGAAGCTATCATATTACTCAGACCTGGGGCCTGTGGAATTAGACTTTAGCCCAGCAACAGTAGACAGTGCAGACAGGGTAAGGGTGACAGATTGGCAGCCAAACATACCCAACTTGTTTGAATTATTTTCATCAATGCACCACCCATGTTAATATTTATATGCTGAGATTCTCTGTAAGATTTTCACTCAAAGTGTTTCAGGACTAAGAAAGTTGTGAAAGAACCTCTACACTTACTTTACAGGGTATTTTCCTAGTACTTGGGATACTTGATATATGTGAAATCTTGATTTCTTATACATCAGGCAGTCTATCCAGTGACATATTTTAATGCAATGATTTTCAAGATGTACTTTGAGAACTCTAGGAATTGCTTCAGAGCACCTTCGTGGACAATGGAGGGGAAGTAGGAAACCCTAAAGTTTGAAAGTTTGGCCTCCCACATGTCACCCACAGCACATTTTGAGCCATATTACATATTCAGCTGCCACATGGGATAAACATTGTGTTCTCTGTGTTTTGTCTTGAAAACAATTTGAAAATGATGAAAACCTGAGAACACCCCACCCCCTAACATACTTAAAAAAAAAAAAAAAATCAACTCTTAACAATGAACAGCCCAGCTCTCTACCATTTTCTCTCTCTGGTCTACTTTCCAAGGAAGCTGCACTGGTACTAGAGACAGGCATGTATAAGGATGTGATGAGGAACTCAAATGCTTTGTGAAGAGAGTGACAGGCAAAGAGGACTTACGGTGAAATCGTGCAGCCCGAGGCATATGCGTGATGGCCTGTGTAGCGAATGTCACAGCGCACGACATTGTTGGAATAGTCCGATTCAGGCACCAGGTAGCTGGGATTCACACTGACCTAAACAATAGAAACGCCATCTCTGTTTCAGATTTCATCAGCAGTATTGTTTACTGGTTAAGTTCTATTTCCACAGGCTAGAACAAGGGAATATCCTTTAACTCAACAAAACAAGGAGAGGGTTTCAGTTAGGCAAGTGGTTAAACTGTGAAGATGGAGAGGTTGATTTAGAAGTAGTTCTAGAAGATGTATATACAAACTGCTTGCAGGATCGCAGTTGTTCAACAGTAGAATGCGGAGAAGGAAATCTGTTGAGTTGCAGTGGAAATAAATTACTAGTACTTATCTTCAAAGTTGCCTACCTTTAGAATGTAGTTTCCAGGTTGTACATCTGTAATATCAATCCATTGGCAGTCTATGTCTGCATTATAGGTATCGTAACAGCCAGGACTCAACCCCTAAAATAATTAAAATTTAAGAATTTTAAAGATGGTATATGGTTAGAGTATACTAAAGAATATGCTGATTATCTGCAAATTAAATCTTAAGTTTTTTAAAAGAAACTATATATATATATATATATATATATTGCATCTTCCTTGAGAAGTATTTATTACTCAGCCTTACAGTACCTCCAGCAAAAAGAAATACAGTCATACATCTAGCTTCTTAGAAGTGTCATAAATCAGTCATGATAAATAGAATCTTACTGACAAAATAGGACTCCACCAAAGCTGAAGAATATCACTCATTCTGGGAGTAGAGGCCATGTAATAATCTAGCAAAAATGTGCCCATGATTTATTTCTTTGTGTGTACCTAGATTTTTAGTATTTTTCCTTCTTTGCACTATAATCATAACATATAGAAATATAGCTAACTAGAAGTTGTAAGCTCTCTAAGGGTAGAGTCTGTGTTTCACTTTTGAGTAGCTAACATTTATGAAGTATGTTATGTGCCACAAGCAATTTTAAACATGTTACATTTATAAATTCAATTCACAGCTCTATCAGCCAAGTGCTATTATTACCCCTTTTATAGGTGAGGATACTGAGGCACTGTAAAGTCAAATAATTAATTCACCCAACAATGTCTTGTTGTTCAACAGCTAGACACATCAGCTCCCAGCTGACATACAGTTAGTAAGTGACTAAGCTGGTTTTGAGTTTAGGCAGTTGGGGTCCAAAGTCACCATTCTTAGCAATTGCATTAAGCTCTTTCTCATATAGTCTCTAAAATATTTTTGTTGAATTAAAGGGATGAAGTATGCCTTATAAATGAATGTCACATCACTCCCCTTACTAAGATACTCTCTCCAATAAGTATATGAGTGCCTTCCACAATCTTGGAGGAGAAAACAACAATAACAGCAAAGCTATAAGATAGGATCCTTATTCTCCAAAAGCTAAGTAAGCGTCTGGAGAAATTTGTCTCATTGGAATCCATAGGTGTATTCTGGAGTCCTTTAGTTCTTCATGAGAAGTCTTCACTATTACATTTTCATTCAAATTAATTCAATTCAAAAGCACATGCTAGAATCGATTCATGAATGCCATTTAATTTCAGCACCCAAAATTGCTTTGGAGTTAAGATCACCTTGATTACAGAGTGTTGGCAGTATCATCTAAGTGTGTTCTATCTATGCTGGTTTGGCTGTAGTTTGACAACAGGCACTATAACAACAGTCCAAACTCAAAAGTCCTGTGCCACATAATGAAGAACTTTAGGGGATCTAATTCTGATTTTGGCACATAATAGAGATTCACTAAGTGTTAGCACTTATCATTGTTGCTATGACTATTGCTACTACTACTACTCCTGGCACACCAACTCTGTTCCTGGCATTGTAAGGAATTTGTTGGATTTGATAACTAATTTAGATAGCTTTAAATAATGCTGCAATGCTTATCTCACCTACAGTAAACAAAAGTTCTTTAAGAATACTGAAATTGGCACCCTATTATTACTCAATTGGCAGAATTTAAGAATGAGTTTTGATTACTTGGACTAGCAAACACAATGGTTTTTAAGTAATAGTTTGTAAGGCTATTAAGCAAACAGGCTCTTATGTATTTAAAGTCAAATTATAAAAGTAGATTGAGCTGCCTGCAACCTCTGCAGTGCTGGTTTGATCCCCGGCTGCCGGGCGAGGATCCCACATGGCGCGCAGACGTCTCCTGCCACCCGCTGCTTCCCTCAGCAGTGTACTTTGTCAGTCTGCCTGATCTGCTCTCCGCTCTGGCTCTGGTGAATTCTCTCACCCTCCCGCGCTTCTGACTATACCCAGTGCTTGTATAAATAAATAAATAAATCTTAAAAAAAAAAATAGATTGAATGTCATACCTTAGCTGTTTGGTTTTAACAAAACATTTGTTACATTGAACTAAGGAGACTAATATGACTCCAGTTTTGTATAATCAAGAACTTAAAGAGTTATATGGAAATATAAATATAAGAAAGCTATATCAAATTTTACATTTGGATATATTTAAACAATATTATATAATACAACAAATCAACATTGGAGATTTGTGAGAATTTACTTGCCTTTGAGTGAAATTCACATTCAAGAAACCCCAGTCCAGTCATAAATACAAACATATAAATCACTTGTAATGCAAAATCTGGTAAACGATGGCTAAGCAGGACATAAGTGGAAAATGATTGACAATGAAGTGGGGTCACCACAAGGAAGAGGGGAATTGGAGGTGCTGTAAATATCTACAGAGCTCGATGCCATGATTTCTGCAGAGTGAGCTGTCCAAACTGCTTTTTCTAAATAAAGGGGCTGTCCAGGCTGGTGCTGTGGGACTCATATATCATTAATGAAAAGGGAATTTCTGTACACACGTGTAAGGTGTGGGTAGTTTACATTTCCTTTTGCCCAAGGAATAAGTGCCGCCTTGGGGCCTGTGGAATTGAACCTTTTCCTCCTCCAATTGCTGTGATATTCTAAGCTTAGACGATGAATTAACAGTAACATTTAGGTCACCAAAGTTTCCTGCCACAGCCCTGGAATTTGCTTCCCTGGATGCCAGCTGTTGATCCCTTTGTGCCCCGAGTTATGTACATTCACTACCCCTTGCCAAATTTTCGGCTAGGATAAAATTATACTGTCCTTTCACAAATTAGGGTTTCTTATGGAAATGCTGGCAAGACTTCTAACTGACACACATTTTCCCATTCTAAAACATACAAAGTGCTTAGTTCAGCACTATTTTTAAAAATCCATCCAGAGGACATCTGACATCAATTATACTGTAGGTTTAAATATATGTGCAAGGAGAAAGGAATTGTGTCCATCTGCTCTTACTTGCATGATGAAAAGAGACAGTTTGTTAAAGTGCTTTTTAAGAAACTTATTTCCCCTCCTTTTGCTTAACTTCAGCCACCGTTCTATTTTTAGCTTAGTGAGAGGAGGGAGGAATGGCTTTGCAGGTGAGAAAACAGAGGTGTCTTTTCCACAGCTACTTACCAAGCCATTTAAAGAATACAGAATGAGTGAAGTTATGGGAAACCATTCAGACTGTTTCAAAGACCAGACTGCTGCTTTTTCTTGTAGAACATAACAAACATGTACATTGACCTGCGATGATGAAATACTTTAAAGATATTTGGGTCATCAAGTCTTTTCCCAATTATTTTTGATTTTGACTTGATGACCCCCTAATAAAAAAGTTAATAAAAGACAGGCAGGAGGAAAGAAAATTGTAGAAAACTTTGTTTCTCTGAAGGCTTCAGGTGCCTGGTTTCAGGGGGCAACTCACCTGTGTGTGTGCAGTACATGCAAATCGCCTGTGGTAGCCATAATCACAGGAGGTGTCCTCAAGACAGAAACTTGCTTTGTGGCCCTCAGCCACTCTTCTCTGGGTGCTGGCATCAAGGAGGTCATAATGGCTGAATTCATCCATGCTGTGGTAATGTCTAATGTCCCACACGACAGAGAGACAGTGGTCAGTGATATATGCAACGGGAAGCAAGGATATTAGAAGATTTCTCTACCATTGGCACATTAAAAGTGAGAGAAGTTTAGCTTTTTATTTTATTTTATTTTAAAGATTTATTTATTCAAGAACCGGGGTACAGGCCAGATGTGCGGGAGGGTGAAAGGACTCACCAGAGACAGAGCGGGGAGCAGGTCAGACAGGCAGACTGACGAAATACACTGCTGAGGGGAGCAGCGGGCAAGACAGGAGAGGTCTGCCGCGCTATGTGGGACCCTCGCCGGCCGGCCGGGATCAAACCGGTGCTGCAGAGGCTGTGGACAGCTTCACAGCACTGTGCTTAACCTCCTGCACCACCAGGGGAGGCCCAGTTTAGCTTTTTAAAGACAGATTTGTTCTAAATTCTTTTCCCAGGGAAAGAAATCTGTCAAAACTGTAAACTTTTAATTTTACCACCAGGAAAACAAGTTTTTTTGGAGTTGTCTGCCTTTCTATTAACATCTTTTTTTAATCTCTGAATATGAAGCAGAAAACACAATAAATAATCTGTTTTTAAGTGAAACTTGCCATATCTTTTTTAGTATATTTTTCTTGGTTGTCACTACTGTTTCTTTCTAAAAAAAGAACAACACATGACTCTTGGAGGATTTTTGTGAGTATTTAAAATCAGCATCAAAATGCAAGGGAGAGATAATAATGGCCTGTTTTATCTGCCTTTATTGTTTAACTAGTACAAACTTTGAATGAAAAATAAAAGAATTCTATTTTATTAGTAAGCAGGTGCTCATCCCTAATTTTGTCATTTCATTAAGGAGAATGTATTAAGCTGTTTATCACATAAGGAAAGAACAAGAAGTGCCTGGAATTGCAGAAAACTTTAAGAGTATACCAGGATTTCCTGGAAGTAACCTGGACAAGTCACCAAGGTAAATTATAGATTACCTTATGTGAAATCTTTAAAGTTAGCTCAGAACAGGCAACCATCTGAGTTTTATACATGTCCTTCAAAAGATAAAGTGTTCCTCCTGGCTGATGGATTATATTGTATACATCTTTCTTTCAGAATGGTATCTGAAGTTTTTTTTGATAACAGTGTATTGATTGTGTTTATTAAATACCACAACTAACTGTAGAGTATCTTGGCTATGGAGTAAAATTCTAATGAAGCCAGTTGCTATATTATCAAGTTTCAATGAGCTGGACTGAAGAGTCTCCAGTTTCAAAGATAACAGCAGCTGGTAGTTGATGTATTTTCTTAAAGACAGGCTCCCTTGATTTTATCAAATTAGAAAAATTCTAAGTATAAATAGTATAAATTCTAAGTATAAATTCCGTCCCTTTGTGTACAAAGTAAGACTTCCAGTCATCCTATCACAAACCACATGAAAGATGAAAAAGCAACTCAGAACTACCCAGGAGGCCCATCTACTTACTGGTGACAGCTGTGCCATTCCCAGGAATATCTTGGTCTGCTTGGTAAGAAATCTGACGTCCCTTGGTTCTTTACTCTTTGGGGAAATCTTAGCAGGACCCTGTGATCGTAATCTCTGACATCTGCCCTGTATGCTGAGCTATTGGTTTGAAAAAGAGAAATATTATTATCATCACAGAATATTACCTAAAGACAAAACTACAAGCAATTTCAAAATTACCAGCAAGTTTCCTGTAATATCATGATGACTACCCTGACTCTCCCAGCTAGAAAATGAGTTCCAAGAGACTAGGAATTTATGAGTTCCAAGAGACTAGGGCATTTTGGTTTTTTCCCCCCTCCTTATTCCTGAATCTCAGCTCTTAGAACAATCCTTGGCAGATAGTCAGGGAATGTTTGTGGAAACGAATGAATGTGACAAATACAGAAATTCAAAATCCATCATTTAAAAGTAAGAGCATGACAAAATTAGCACTGGGAATTTACATGTGGAAAGTAAGCTTTGTGTTTATCATCAAGTTTAACCATACAAATTAGAGAAACTGAGACCCCAAATTAAAAAAAAAAAAAATCATCCAAGAACTTTGAATTAACATTAAATTTATTCTCAAACAATGAACTAAGATATGGGGGAATGACTCAGAAGAGTACACCCAGATTAGATAAATGATTTTGTAACTTCACCATCTTCAAAACAAGGGCTTTGTTGTAATAATATCATAGGGGTGTGATGATGTGATGCAAGACTCAAGAATGAAAAGGAGGCACTTGGATTTCTTCTCTTCCTTTAGCTTGACAGTTACAAAGGGTCAAAGAGGAAGAAATAAATAACGAGCGCGACTATGTTCCTTCTCATATTTTGTGTGAATATATAAACATCAAATACTGTTGATGACGGTATTTTACAATTTAAACAAACAAACAAAAAAAAAAAAGTATGAGACCTAGCAAAAACATCTGTTGCTCCCTCTGCTGGTTTCCAAGCAGCACACTCTGAAAACTCCATTCCCAAAATTGCTGATTTTATTTTAGAACCATGGAAAAACAAAGCACTTGCTCATGCTCTTATTCTGGCTGAAGTAATATAAAAACTACTAAATTAAATGTGACTTCAAATAAAAGAAGCATACTTAAAATCTTTGCTAATGAAGTGTGTGCCATGCCACCAAATTTGCCCCCAATCTTTAAAGGGGGTATTAACAAACTTTTATAATTACAGTTACCTTCCCGCACGTTATTGTACTGTTGTTTAATGCAAAATTATTGTAAACTGGGCTCTTAAGTTCAGGAATCTTGGGACAAGCACACGAGACCCCCACTCTGCAGGGTAAGGGTTTGCTCTGTCTCCCTCCTTTGTGCCAGTTTGAAATGCTTTACCCACAGAAATCCTCACAATTATAACTCTCCATCCCGGTCGGCATGCCCAGGAACACAACCCACTTTGGAACTCTGGGTTGCATCAAACAAAGCACCAGAGGGACCCCCTGCAACCTACAGGAGAGCCGGACCACGAGGATCCCAGCCCCTACCTGGCCAAGCAGTTTTCCTCCGCAGCGCACCTCAGGTTGTACATGGACATCTTTTGCACGTACGTGGACGCCTGGATGTAGTAGGGGTCAGGCACCAGGTCCGGGAGACCTAAATGTCAGCAGGTGATGGTCTAAGGAGTGAGACAACCCAAGGCCAGCCACCCACCCTGACTAGGCTTCCTTCCTTCCATCCCCTAGCCCAACCCGACTGCGGGTGTCGGGTTGCGGGTAGCCAGGGAACAGGGGACGCCCAGGGCTGCAAAGCAATGTGGCAAGGAAGCAGCGGGGAGCGCGCGCGCGGTTTGCACCGGATTCCGCGGCTGCCTCAGCAGAAACAGGGGAAGGGATGGGATCTGCAGGGATGAGGGCCTGCCGCGCCCAGGCAGCCACGTCGAGGAGCCCCAGAGTTGGGGCACAGACAGGGTGCGCGGGTGCTTACCATACTGGAAGTAGCCGGTGCCGTAGCCGGGCCGTTGCCTGCTCCCTGGCCGGGGCCTTTCGTAGGTGTCGTAGTAGTTGTAGTAAGGGTTGTCGTCCGAGTACTTGTAGGGGTTGTAGGGGTCGTCGCCCACCATGCCGTCCACGCGGCTGGGCGGCCTCAGGTTGCTCAAAGCCGGGCGCTCTCCAGGCTCAGGCGCGGTGCGGTTGCCTGCGCGCGGGGCGCCCCCGTCGCGGGCCCCCGCCGAGGAGTGACCGGCTTGGAACCAGTGGCGCGCAGCGGGCCTGGGGCGGCCGGTGGCGGCCCCCGCCGAGGGGCCGTGCGCCCCCGCGCCGCCGCCGTGCGGTTGTCCCGGAGCAGCAGGATCGGCGTGCGCGCCTGTGCGGCCGAGGCGTTCGCGGCGCCCGGAGCGGCGGCGCCCGGGTCCCGCCGGCGCTGCGGCTGGTACTGCGCGCCCAGGCTCAGCAGGCTGAACACCTGCCCGTTGTTCTCCCATTGGATCTTTTGGCGCCAGGCGCCCGGAGCCGCCGGCGACTCGCGAGGGGGCCGCTGCTGGCCGGCGGCGGGCGGGGCGCAGCGCACGGGCGCGCAGAGCTGCAGCAGCCCGAGCAGGAGCGCGGTCCAGGCGAGGCGCATAGCTCCCCCGTGCCCGACTGTTCCCGCTCCGGCAGGACTCAGCTCGGAGAGAATAAAAACGGGGCTCAAATCGCGTGGGAGGGGGGGAACTCTTCCAGCGGGGAGGTGGGCGGAGCGCGGCGAGCAGCGAGCGCCTAGGGTGGGCTGCAGACCCTGCTCCGGCGAGGGCGGCCCCCGGGACGTGGCATCCGCTTCTCTCCTCTTTCCGAAGTGCTGTCAGACAACCGGGAGCGGCGCGACGGCCCCGAGAGCGGGCAGCGTCTGGGCTGGAGGAAGGAGGAGAGATTTTAAACTTTCTGGCACATTTGCAAAGTTACACAAGCGGTTCTGGCTCAACCGCCCCTCCGCTATTTGTGCACGTAATGCGATTGGAAACGTGCAAGGCGGACAGCTCCTCGCCTCGGCCCCTCCCTACCCTCCCGGTCCTGGCCTCCTCCAGGCCAGACACGTTGCATGGGGAGCCTAGCGGGGAGCGAACAGAAACGGAACTCACATCCTGAGACGCGCTGGTCTTAATCTGGGGCGAACATGCAGGAATTTCAAAAGACTCAGACAGGCGAAGGCAGCCAGGCCATGGGGCGAAGCCAAAATATGCACGAAGAAAAATGCTATTAGGTCACCAGTCCTGGAGAGGCGGGAAGTCGGGGAGGTGGGTGGGTGCTGGGGGCGAAAGTTAGGGGGGGGGGCATGGAGGGATGGTTGTGACTAAGGCTTATCCTTGAGGAGTTAACACCAGACACATTTCCCAATGGACACTCACTCGTTTTTATGGGAAGTGCCCTCAGCAAATTAGCCCCAGAGTATCAAATTTTGTTTTTCTGCGTGTAGGTAACATGAGAAATGAGTTACAAATTTGTTTCCTACAGTGAATATTTTAATAACCAAAAAGTGAAATTTTAGAGGGACAGAGGCTGCTAACACACAAGAGGTGAATAAGCCTGTCTGGTTTTCAAAATGCCGCCCAGCATTGTGCTTGAAGTGCAAATGAACCATCTTGCATCTGGAACCATCAGTGTCTACTGGGAAGTTTCATTTGTGGGGACTGGGGGCAGCCTGGCCAAGAGCGCTCACAGGGGAGCTGCCATTAGGCATTTTTATTTGACCTCCTGTTTTCTCTTCTGCATCATAGTAGAACGTTTGATTTGGGGTTTTTAAAAAAAAACTTCAATTGACTTAAGTGTCAAAAGTCAGTAGTGCATCCCATAGTGTTTGCCTGATCTCCACTTTCAAGAAGAATGTTGCTAAAGAAACACCCTTGAGATTCAGGTTTTGGTAAAGACAGGGGAGGAGGAATTGCCTGGGAAGAAAGTGTAGGAAGCTGTGGGTAGGAGGTAGGTAATGCTCACTATAAAGATTGGTTTAATGGAGCAGTTAATCACATGCCACTTGGGGTTAGACAGTGCTGGAGGCATTTCAAAGAAAAATTGCTGCTAAACGGCCTGATTTAAAATTATGGTTCAAACCAGACTCAAATAACTTTTTATCAATCTCATCATCAGGCTGTTGTCTAGATAGATTGCAATATTTACCTACCTCTTTTAGTCTCTGTCTCTCTGTGGTGAAGCACATTTTGGTGGTGTGGTGACCATTTGCTGATTTGACTGCCTACTATCCATTTCTCTTTTTTTTTTTTTTTCAGGTGAGGGCAACTGTTTTCCTTTGGGAATTTTTTGGGAATTTTCCTCTATCCAATTGCACGCTGAGAATGATTGAGCACTCTTGAGATTTCCCCACATCTAACAGGGGTCATGAAATCCACACTTGGCTAACCAAACTGTCTCTAGAATTCACATCTTGAGCAAAGGATACCAGGGTCAAAAATGTTGGAAGCCACTCACCTCATGATTGTAGAAAGTGTCCCTGAGTTCGTGCTACATGGACACTTTGTCAACTGCTTTAAGCCAAAACCTTCCAGTTTGTTTTATACCTATTGCTTGTACACATTTGTGCTCCAAAGAATAATGTACTGTCATGATCAATGTCAACTGATTCAACCACTGTCAAAATTCATAGTGGAAAGAGGTTCATCTTTTTTTTTTTTCAAATGTCCTCTAACATACTTAAAAATGTCTTAGATTAAGCATAATTAACTATAATTGTGTACAGTATTTATTGTCTTTTAAATACTACTCAGGGGGGACCCCATTACTTTTTGTCGCCACCCTAGTATCACCCTTGAATGGTTTTCTTTCTCTAGATTCTCTCCAGATTATGACTCAGTCAACTGAAAACAAACACATGGCTATTACACTGGGGACAATGAAAGTGTTTGCAAGCCCTATAGAAGACATTCTTAAAAAGCATTGCACTCTGTTCAGTGATAAAGTTTTTATTCACAAAATTGGAGAAACTACAGTTCCTTACAGTTAAAATTAACATAATGACTTTACATACATCAAGATAACTATACCTTTTTTATTTTTTTATTTAGGTAAGATCCACAGCTAATTCTTTTTTTTTTTTAAGATTTATTTATTTATACTAGAACAGGGGTACAGGTCACAGGCGTGGGAGGGTGAGAGAATTCACCAGAGAAAGCAGGGAGCAGAGCAGGCAGACGGACTGAAAGCACTGCGGAGGGGAGCAGCGGGTGAGACAGGAAAGGTCTGCCATGCCATGTGGGTATCTCCCTGGCCAGCCGGGAATCGAACCCATGCTGCAGAGGCTGTGGACAGCTTCATAGCGCAGCGCTCAACCCGCTGCACCACCAGGGAGGCCCAAGATCCACAGCTAATTCTGCCTTCACCTTAAGATATTCTTTTTTGTGGACAATTCTGCAATACAGGAAAAGAAATGGAAAGACACTGATTTTTTTTTTAAGTTTCTTGTATATAGGTATGAGGAATTCAAACTTCATTGTCTCACACATTGACCAAGAAGTAACAGTTGTCACAAGGTGGCATTCCTCATATTGATAAACTGTATTTATATGTGTGGGATAATTCATATAAATGGAAAGTAAACTTACTCTAAACCATATGCCACTGAGAAACCAAAGGCAAGACACTAATGCCACAGTCAAGGGACTCCAAGTTGGTTCATTCTCTGTAGCAGAGAATGAAATAGAGAAAGTGGAAATTTGAGATGTGTACTGAGAAAATAATTGAGAAAAGAGGGAAATATGATTTCCCCTACACAGGGGGACAGATTGAGACCTGAATGAGCCTATTTTTAAAAAATTAATTCAGAAAAGGTAACAGAGTGAAATAAAGAACCAGAAACCTTTTTACTTGGAGAAAAATAGAGGAGAGGAGTAGATTAGTCTTAAACTTAACAGTGTACTTTGGTCCCTTGTCCTCATTCTTGTCTTCTGCCACAACCACTTCCAGGTACTCACCCAAATATAAAAAGTAGACAGTTTGTACACACTTGTCTGTGTGTCAAGACTGAACTGAAGAGAAAAAAAGGAAATCTGTAAACAGACCGGGTAGAAGAATTCCAGAAATAATGAATTTTAAATATATCTTATGTGGTAACCCATCCCCTTGGGCCACCTAGGAATGGAAAAGTGGAACTAAGCCCTAGGGAATGAAAAAGCATTTCATTCTAGTGTCTTTAATGCATATTCATATGTGATTAAGTAAATAATGTTAGTCACTATAACAAAATGGAAAAATGAGAAGAGGTGAAGTTATGATAGGAGAATGGGTGTTTGTAATTCAGTGAGTCAGAGTTCAAAGTAATCTGGTTATGTTGACCGAAAAAATAAGGGATCAGCCAACTGGAAAAACTGCCTTCAAGTTAAGTCTAAATGATGTGATTGGGCCTCACAGACTGTCCAGTGACAAAGACACAACTCTCCTTTATGTGCTTGGGCCATTTTGTTTCCAATTAAGAGAATAAGGTAAGCTCCCTGGTCTACCCCCTTGGCTTATTTGCTGCTTCTCATGTTTACCTACATTCAGCTTCACCATCCTAGAACCCTAAAAGTTATTTAATTTAGTATTCAGGGTGTGATCCTCTGACGTGATAGCCTACAAGACTGAAGGACATTTATATGTAGCCATTTTCATTTCTTGTCAATAATCGCAACCCACCACAGTCATCTCTGTTCTTTAACTTAACTCAAGGCACACTGCTGCCTCTGGGGACCCAGCAAGATGGCAGATGATTAACAATCTAATATCAGTTATATGGAGTGTTTCCCCCTCTCCTATGAAGTGATAGATCGGAGATTGTTTAAGGGTGTTACGTATATTTGGAATAGCTGTAGAGTGAAAGGAAGATTTTGATGGGGCTCTGGATTTGAAGTCAGTTTTAAGAATCATAGTTCTTTCTGTTATTATTTGAACAAAACTCACTGTACCATTTTACTGCCTCTTGATTATATAACATCTTAAAATTTGTATATAATATCTTTTAATGCTATGAGTCTTTTTTAACAGCTCCACTTGGTTATAGTTAGTACATTTTTATAAACAAGGATTTCTTTGAACTCTACCTAGTATGTTTCAACAATTTTGTGAATCACAGTCATCTCTTTCAGAAGATAGCAGATAAAAATAGAAAATCTAAAGCTCATAAAATCTGTAGGAATTCTGTCTCTGTAGGTCACATAGTTTGACCTCTGTTCTGGCCTCCTTATGGGAGCAAGACAGCCTTTTCTGACACTGACATATCTTTCATGCTTTAGTCTCAGTGGTCTGTATAAGTTTTTGCAAATAATCAATGCAAGGACCTGTAACACAATGACATATTTGAAATATTAAATATTAATATTTAATTAATATTAAAATATTAAGTGAAAATCTTAAATAAATATACAAACTCAAGATGACCTGTGGATAAGGAATCTCCAATGCCCAAGTGAGTTGAACACATACATCCCTTTCAAGCTTGCTAAATGGCTCTCAAGAAGAAGAAGGAAATCATGTGGAAATATGTAATAAGAAAAATAAACAATTTAATTTCTAAAGGACAGTACTTAGGCTGTCATTAATAACACACATTTCTGTTTCTTGTCATTTATAGTGTTCCTTGTATGATGTGAAATACTTAAATGCATTACCTCATTTTATCCCCATAACAACCCTGTTAGGTTAGTAATACTTTGATTTTATGGACAAGAAACTGAAACTTACATAGATCAAGCAACATGCTTAACTAAAACTTGGCAGAGCTCAATTTTGAAGCCACAACTATCCTTTTATAAATAATATAGTAATCTCTTGCCATGTGAAGTTTCTAGAAAGAGGGTATGTATCTCACTTTTTTCTTTGTTTTAATTATTGGAAAATTAAGCTGAGTACTTCATTAAAGTTTACACTACTAAAGATTAAAAAACAGCCAATTAAAGAACAGGTGAGCAATGACTGTTTACCTGGTGCCTATGGATAAATGACTTTGGATTAAATGTGACATACAAGTTAACTGGAAAGTAACAAGTAATAGAACAGGGGTG